TATAAGTGGTTCCGACTTGTAGGTGACCCGCGATTATTTGCCCAGTCTTCACATGATCGTAGCACTTGAGCGTATTTATTTACACCCAGTCCTGTCGTACAAACCATTTTAGGTGGTTCCGACTCGTGTGCAGGTATAGTTAGTGAGATGGAGATTTGAGCTCTAGATTTAGCCGTACAGGTCACGTTAGGTGACTCCGGCTGACAGATTACATTGCATTGATTAACATTACCTGAGTTACTTACCTTTTATGTGGAGGCATTCGACATGGCATATTTTCTAAGCATGTTTCCTATATATGAGTATATTCTATTTTTCTGGGAACTATATAGGCTTTACGACGAGGGGTTAGAACTTTGATAATGAAATGATTTTGAAAAGCTTTGTTTTTGCCCACTCACACTTTTTGTTTTGCGCCCCTCCAGGTTCTAGTTTGGATTGCTCTTTTGGTGGCTCTCGAGGGATTCACGACACATCTGACGGATTATCACCAGTGTAGGACCACCTCTGGGTGTGTTTAGTTGGTGTTTGTTCCTTTGGACTGCAGTAGGTTTTCTGTACTCTGAATATTATTTTCCACATTTACGCTTGCACAAGTATGTTAATTACGCTGTGTGTAGTTTGGTTTTTATTTGTTCGTACTTTTATTATTATTCTTAGCTTCCGCACTGTGCACATGGTTACGTTATTCTCACGTGATGGTCAGCACGCCCTGATTTTAGTCGGAATGTGTCAAGACTCATATTGAGTTTAAGAGCGTAGACATAAGTAAGCCTAATACGAAAAAGCATTAGGGTTTAAACTTTAAATTTAAAACATAATGAACACGGCAGGGATTAAAACTTTATTCCACGACATATATAGGGCCACATAGATATTTTTTTATATGATATGTTATTGGCCAAATCCCCCAGTCGAGAAAATTATGTTGCTTTTTCTTGTTGGGGTTTTATTGTTAGTTTATTTTTAATTTATTAACATTTTGCTAGGTGGTGATCTGATTAATTATTTAATTAATTGCTGTTGTATGGACCTAATATTCTTTGGTTATATTTTTCAATACTTGTGCACGTACGTAATCAACTTTTAATTAGGTTGGAACCAATAATGATCCACCAGCACACTATTGTCCAAACTATAAGTAGATCAAATTACATATAAGGAAACCACTTTTCTACGTTCAAACTACTTTCGACTTCTCATCCAAACCCACACACAAACAAATGATATACAAAGAAACTGCTATCAACTTACGCAATGATCATGGGAAGGTAAGTAATTTTGTAGTGAAAATCAGATAAAAATTGCTCCTAGGATAATGTATTGTAGGAACGGATCGTGACATCATTTCTTTACACAACTTTTGACATAGGTTTTTGTAGAGCTCACTTCGTAATGTATTTTAACGATCCGAACCGTCTATCTTTTAGATCTTCTCTCAAAGATTATGTCTATAAAAAATCATCAACTCTAAAATCATATGATCATTGAATTAAGATGTAGGGTTTCTTTGTAGAACTATATTCGTTAATTTTTTTCACTACATATGAATGTCTTAATGATATTAGATTTGTCTAACTTTTTGTAACAACGATCTATGAATGATGTTCTAAAAACTAATCAGTTCGAATCGTTAAAATACAATACAGAATGACCCTCGTAAAATATGTGCCAAAAGTTATATAAAAAAGTGGTGAACGGATTCTTCGCCATATATCATATGATGAGGTTTACGGTTTTCTCCAACAAAATAGATTTTGTGGGAATAAGTGCATGGTTTAACCGACCGGTTGATGATCACAATATGGTCAGTTAATTGGACATTCGCATCCCACAACTACACCCAAGATTAGTCTGTAGTGAAAATCTCTTACTGAGAGATAAGTTTAATATAAATTGATTTTATAGAACGATAATCGAAATTGAACTTTAACTAACTTCTAATTTACTCGCAAATTTTTTCTAATGTTATAGAGAATTTGAATGTTAGAGAGATCTTAAATTTGAATTTCTATCGCCAATTTAGAAAATCATTGAAAGGACGATCCAAATAAAAAGATGTTGTATTGAGTTTGTTGTCATCCATTGATGATGAAGGTGGCCTTTCCACATGCCCTCCCATTTCCGGTGACCTCCCCTGTCTTTTCGTTTGTGCGATCACAATTAAGGCACGTCAACATTTTATATTACTATTCATTTTTGTCTTATTATTTTTATAAAAAAAATATATATAAAATGTTGATGTGGTTTAACCGTGACTACACGAAACAGGAAAGCACAAAAAAACACCAAAAATAAGAGGGCAGACAATCGTTGTCCGTTTTATAAACGATGAGTTTGGTGGAGATATCATCACGTTTAGATTTTGGTTGATCAAGTCTTTATAGCATCCACTCATTATTTCAGATTCTGTCAGATTATGAACAAAATAATGTGGGCACACAGATCGTTCTGACATTGTATTATTTTTCCCTGATTCTTCCATCACAATTTATGTAATTGCTTTTAAGGATTTTTTGGTGTTTAAATTATATTTGACTCTTTAATTTTAAATTAATACTCGATGAAATTCAAGAAGCTGATTGATTGTAAATTAAAATTATTTCGATTGATTTGGACCATGACTTGTAAACTTAATTTGACCTGATACTGACTCTGAGTGTTTTATATCTTTGACAGTAGTGTGCATATAATGTATGCATATTCCCCCTCTCATATTTTCTATTTTGTCTTTTTTTTTTTCTATAAAAAATTAATATAAGATGTTGACGTGGTTTAACCGTAATCGTTCAAATAGAACGAAAGGGAAGGGGAAAAACAAGAGAAGAGAATCCTACTCCAATTATGAAAGTCTAGACTCTTGATCAATCCAACATCACGATCAAGCCAGTTAGCTATATTAGAATATGAGCATCGAACACAATATTAATGTTGATATCAATGCCAATGCACATTCAATTTTGTGTTTAAGAACTGTTGGCTTGATTCATAGTCGAGAATTTAGATAACAAACATGATTTGGATCCTCTATCTTTTTTCTTTATTATTATTATTATTATCAATGGAGAAAGTTTAGAGAGAAATTTGAACCCGAAACTTCTTTCTTGACCAAGAGCTAGCTAGTAAATTAACAGGACCATGTACTACACATCTAAAGATCATCACATATAAGAGAGAGATTTTGTTGTTTGAAGCAACACAAAAAACTTCCACCGACAAAAGTTGAACTCATAACCTTCACTAACAAAGCGAAAACTAAACGCTTTTAAAATGAAACGATCGTTGAGAAAGCGAGGCTTTGTTTTGCCGGACAGCTTTATTTTCAGCTAGAGCCCTTGTATAAGTGTTTTTAGAGACACTAAACTAGTGTCCACAATTAATTAACATCTTCTGTTACATTATGTTTTGATGAGGGAAATAAACATAGAATTTTGGTAAAAGTTAGAATTTATAAATTGACAGGTACCAATTCTCTTGTTTGGATTCATAAACATAGAAATTTAGAATTTCCGCGTAGAAAAAAAAACTTGGAATTTGGGACCTCCAAATCTCAAGTTCAAATTCCATGTAAATGGGTGTCATTTCTCAATTTCTATGATTGATAGTTTAAAAATAACAAATTTCGTATTCAATTCCATTGTTCTTTTAGGTTAACCAAACAAGAAAATTTACAAATTCTAGAAAATAAAATCTAGTCATTTCAATTTTCGTCATTTTTAAATTCCTTAATAATTTTAAATTTCTTCACCCAAACATAGTGTTACATTAATACCAAGATCAGTTTGCAATTAAATCATTAATTATGAAACAAAGAATAGGTCAACCTTTGACATGTCTCGAATAATATTGTTCTACACTAATTAAACAAAATAAATTAGAATTATTAGATGATTTGATTTCATGGCCTCCAACTAAGCTTGATTAGCACCACCACCACCATCACCACCCAGTTTTGGGAGCACGTAATTTTCGCTTGGTTTTATTTCTCTTCCAACCGTTCTCTTTCTCTTCCTTCATATATTCATCACCTTTCATACCGTTTTCTCATTTTCTATGATTTTCTTATAACTCTTCCTTCAACTTTGGCTTCAATCAAGGTACGTTTTTCTTTTTGTTCCTACAAATTTACTCTTTCTTACGCCATATGCTTTTGCTTGCAATTTGGGTTTTAAGATTGTGGAAGAAATTTTGTGAATGTTGACTCTATAATATGTTTTCAATTATCGATGTTGTATTTGTTTGGTAACTAGGGTTGAGCAAGATTTGGGTTGGTCAAAATCAAAAGTCGCACGCTAATTTGTTTGGTTTTAGGAACGGACCCAGAATTTCGAAGTTGATTGAGTTAAATTTACCTTACCGACATTGTTGTGAGTTAGAATTTAGAAGGGCTTAGTTGATTAGGGTGAGACCGGCTATTTTCAATTGATGACTGGGCTATTAGAAGATGGGATCATGATTTGGTTCTTAGAACTTAGAAGCCCCTACTTGCTAATTTTAGAAGGAAAAAAAAAAAAAAAAAAAAAAAAAAAAAAAAAAGAAACCCTCATCGGGGTTATAGCCCATATAAGTTCTCTAATGGGTCCGTGCCTGTTTGGTAGTTAGAGTTAATCATTATTTTAATAGATCTCATGTGTTTGTATTAGCGTTTGGTGCAATATTTTCAATTAGTTTACCATTTATAAGATCCAAGGTCCTAAAACAAACCAACCAAAACCCATTTTGGATTTGCTTAGGTAATCGAATTAGGTATGGTTTCTACATGAAATGATAATACATGTGCCGGATACACAAGACATGTGATTGGTTTAACAAACAAAAGAAGGAAAAGAAGTCGTTTATAAGAAAAGAGTATGGACCTAAGAAAAATGGATGACAAACAAGAATGGGAGAATCTAGAAAGACACGTTAGCCCCCTCACTTAGCCTGTTATTGCTTAACGAATGAATACATTATTATTATGATATCTTATGTCAAGGATGCATCATCACCGTAATTTTTTATATCATGTTAATAATATAACGTTATATAATCATCAATATTGGACACGGTGACAATGTACCTGTGCAAATAATTGTTCTCCAGTAGAAGATGGGAGTGGGACCCACCTAAATTTATCCCATCGGTAAGGTTTACATATGGACCCGGCCTTAATCAAGCCTTCCTCCCCATGAAAGGTCAAGTGCTTGGATTCGTATTGCTGCGTTGGGATTTGGTGCAGACTTAGGTGAGCCTGAATGGCAGGTTTATTTGCTGTGTGGATCACAACAATAAATCACATTAAACTTGTAAGGGGGTGATGGGCCACTCAGGCCCACTTCTATCTTGATTTTATTCATATGTTTTAATTCAATCTGACCTACTTATACCTAGTCTTGTGTCTGGTTTACGATTCTTTTTTATAGGAAAACTAACGAAAAGTTAAAAAAAAAAATTAGTTTTAATGAAAAATGACAAATAAATGTGTAATGAATAGTACTAAGGAAGGGTAAAAATGTGGTTTTTCGTTAAAAGTGAACAGTACCAGTAGTGTTGGGTTAAAACTTTTTTTTTTTTCCTGTTATTTTTGGATCGTGATTTGATATGAATGGTTTTAGGATCCGACGTGTATCTTCTTTGTAATGTTTATCGTCTTAATACTCATTTCTAACTTGTGTTTTCTTTAGATGATGCAGGGATATAGTAGGCATCTGAAACTTCTCATCTCTTTCGATATATCCGTAAATTGAACTGTCGATCTTTAAATCCTTGTATATATGGCAACAAGATCTAAAGATAGCAGCCCTGCTCCAGGGAGGGAGAATAAGAGCACATCACCATCATCAAACACCAAAAGGCTCACCAAGTCCCAAACGACATTCACTGAAAAATTCTCTTCAACCTCATCAGCAAAACAAGTCCCAAACTATCTCAGGCCGACGTTAAGCGCCTCGAGGCATGAAAACTCGCTGAGGTCATTGGCCGCTGGAGCCAAAAAACATGGCTCTGAAGATCATGCAGCGTCTCAAAAACCTACATTGAATAGAAGAAGATCTTTTGACAAACCACCATCACCTTCTAGGCTTCGGAAGGCATTGGTATCCCCGGGAAGGGAAGCGTCACTGCAATCGTCGTCAATTTCAGCAAAAACCTCATCTAATGCTCCGAGGCCAAGAATAGAGAGGACAAAATCGAGCACTTCTGTGGCTGGAAAGCCGCAGCTTTTGCATGCAAAGAGTGTGAAGAAGAGCAACGGGAGCAGTTCGGTTAAGAAGGAGAGTTCATCGGGTTCAACAAGAGCTCCGAAGAGTGAGGACATAATACATACAATTAATCTCGAAGCTAATTTAGATGCTATAGAGTCTTTGGAACATCATGAGGTTGAAGAGGTATGTAAGATCTCGAGTGAGGAGCATGATAAAGTGATTCTTCCGGATCCGAAGGGCGAGGAGATTGAGCACGTTGGTGATCATGATGCTGGCGTTTTTGAGGCTGAAGGGAATAGCGGCGAGGATGAGAAGGTGAAGGCTAGTGAGGGTGCAAATTCTAATTCGGCGGAATTGAAGGAAAATGTGGAGGAAAGAAGCGAAGAAAGCGGAAGTGTATTGACCGAAAAAGAGGAGAAGCAGGCAGATAATGACCAACAAGATGGGGAAGAGAAGGATAAAAAAATAGATGAAAGCGGCGAGGCAAAGGCGGAAGAGGGTTTGAGAAGTGAAGATCAGGAAGCAAAAGTTGAAGTGAAAGAAGAAAAGGAGAAAGAGAGTGAAAGTAAAGAAGAAAATACAAGGGAGGAAAGCAAAAATGTTGAGGAAAAGGGATTGGATGAGAAGGAAAGGGGAGAAGTTGTGGACGGCGGAGTTGAAGAAGCAAAGCCGCAAGAGGCTGCTGAGGCGGAGTCAGAGGAAGCACCAAAGTTGCGGCAAGCGAGCGAGGGATCATCACAAGGAGGAGGGAAGAAGGACTCAGTTCCTGCATACAATGATGTGATTGAGGAGGCTACAAACAAGTTGATGGAGAAAAGGAAGAACAAGGTGAAGGCATTGGTTGGGGCATTTGAGACTGTCATCGATTACGAATCCAAATGACAAACCCTAATTCAAAATTTTGTGCTGTAAAAATCTGTGTATATTTGGCACCTACATTAACATATTCTGCGATGAAGTGAGCTTAAAAGATTTGAGAGAAAAAGAAAGTTGGATTGGACTGAAACGCAGAAAGATGGGGAGGGTGTAATTGGGACTTGTTCATATTACCAGTTTAAGATACCATACATTTGTTCATAAATTATGCTCTATTTTTAGTCGTTTACCTGATTTTTCTGTGTGTTTTCGTTCCCCTAAATCTTGATGTAACGTTACGCTTCTCCTGAAAGCATATTTAAAAGTGTAACTATGATTAGAATCTATGCATTTTAATATCTACAACTTTGATGTAAAACTTATTTCATTTCCAAAATTGTTGCACAAAACACTTTGAATAATCAGTGAGTGCTGGCTAGGTGTCGTTTGGAAAATAGAATATATACATCGATCATGATCAACAAAATTGTAAAAAAGAATGTGCAAATTATTCATAGATGAGTAATTGTATGTATGATTTGTAAATATATGATATCAACAACGTCAATATTCAAATTAAGAACAAAAAACATAAAAAAAAAAAAAAAAAAACACATCCCAACAAGAACAAATAAATAAATAAATGAATTAGAAATGAATTGTTCTATATATAAATATATTTTCTTGGTGCCTAAATATAGGCCAGGTCACCCTTCTGTCTCAAACTAGCTAATACCCTCTAAAAACTTTCTTCTCTGCAGTACCTTAGCTGCAAAGAAACCTGCCTCTCAAACATCAGCTGCCGGCGAAAATTTGCTATAAAAACATCAGCCCTGCGATTGACATCATCGTCATCGTGATCATCCGAATTCTGATCCCTCAGACGATCATGGGTCCTCGTGCTTTGAACCCTTCTCAAACCGCGCTGATTCCCATGAGTATTTTCGTCTTCAATGCAGCTGTAAAGCCCCAGCCGGTCATTGAAGCTCAAAGAATGCCGCGTAGAAGCTCGAGAAGCGCAACCAAGGATCGAAGCTAACCGCAATCGGTTTAATTTGAAGCTGAGTAAAATCAGGTTGATTTTCTTCACCGCCCTCTTGAGGTGGTGGCTTACGAGTGACAAGGTTTCCCAAGCCATTGCTAACTAATGCTGTTGAAGTGAGAAACTGAAGAAAAATGCCAGCTTGGTTTTATAGGCAAGTGAGGGAAGATTCTTGAGCAAGCTAAATGCTAATGTGGTCACTTGAAAGCGTGTTGGGAATCTTTTTCGGAGCGTTAAAACGAGCTTAGAGCTATTTTATTTATTTATTTATTTTGTTTGAATTTTCAGTGAGGAATTATAGCTATGTAATTTGCGTGTGAGTTACATGGGAAGTGTGACAGAGCTTGTGTTTTTGTGCTGTTTTCTTCTGTTCTTTTTGGTTGCTTGCTAATTAAGCAGAAGAAAATGGTTGTCGTGGGGCCCACATCTATGCTAATTAAGTCTTGCACTACAAGAAATCGAAGGTTTATGTTGGCTAAAGCCCAACTTGCCGTCACCTAACCGCTCTTATTTTGAAACTTTTAATACAAAGATATATTTACATTGAGACGGTAACGGAATAAATTATCATTGAACTTGCTATATACATGATTCGAATTTAAAACCTCTAAACTCTTATTTTAAAGTTAAAACAAGAAGATTGAATAGCACTTGAAATCTGAAATAATTAACTCTTCAAATTGGGGACTAAGAGTGGTATAGAGTTAAACAACAAAATAGCCAGGTTAGATGAGTCTGTTTTTGCTCACCCCTTTAATCTACTGCGGCTTTGAGTTTTTCACTATTGTTCATGTATGACATTCTTTATATATCAACTGTTAAAATACTTACTCTCATAATAACGTTTTTTTTTTCCTTTTTTTTTTTTAAACAAAACAATAACGTTATTTATACACACTTGTTGATATACTCCCTAATACAAATGTATTTCACATACAATGCACTTGCATTAGAGTGTCAATTTTGTGTGTCAAAATAACGCTGGTCCATTGTGAAATCAACTTCATATCTTCTCTAGGTTTTTAAATGAACCTTTTACTCCACCTCTACCAAGTTATGTGCAAATCCCCTTTTAACTTGCAAGACTTGTGCTTTTCAGGTTTGTTAAAAAGGCATTCATGTCCTGTTCAAAAGTCATGTTTCCTTTTGTTTTCGCGTTTCTTGTGTTTACCAAAAAAAAGAAAAAAACCAAACACGAGCACTCCCTTGAGCTGAAAGAAACACGAAAACATGAAGACATAAAAACAGAGCAGAAGAAAGACAAGTTCTAAGGTGCATCATAATTCAAGTTAATTGAATTTTACTTTGATGACAGAAACATTGCTCCCGATTCTGGGGGCAATCTACAGCAGATTACAGAAATTATTCAGTACAAAACTGTATTGAAACCAACGTGAATGTCATATGAATTTCCGTGATGAGAAAAGATAACCAAACTTCTGCTTATCAGGCTTTGCTACTACTGCTACAATTTCTCTCTAAAAAAACCTGAAGCGAAACAAAACTCTGAAACACGGGGAGTAGCTGACCAAAACCGAGAACATCCCACGAGTTGGTTTAAGAGTTCTAAACTCAGGAATTTGCGACCAATTGCTCGGGAACACCAACATGAGAGCTTCCTGCATCGACCTTTGCATCTACGACATCAGCTACTTGTTTGTCAGTTCCTTCGTCGATCTGTTTTAGTTTCTTCGACCAACCATACATCTGTCTCTTGACTTCCCTTTTGTCTATTGTAAGGTTTTTGAATCCTTGTTCCAAGTTGGCTTCGGCTTCAGCTTCAGGTTTATTAAAAGCAACCTGCTTGTGCCCAACATCTTCATATAATTTTTCAATTCTGGCTTTCCAGACAAATCCCATTTCCGTATCCATCTTCTGGTAAGGTGTTTTCAGAAAATACTCATCAATCCCACCTGCCTTGTCTATGCAACGGAGAGCATGGGTGGTGACTTTGACACGTATCTGGCGGTCTAGGATGTAACTGAAGAGCCGCTTCTCCTGCACATTTGGCTTCCATGTCCTCCTTGATCTGTCACCACCAACAAGAAAAAGTTCCCGTGGTTAATATAACCCATTCCCACAACTAGTTAAAAGAACCAAATCATTCAAAATTACATTGATCTACGTCAGTCCTGTTCTATAAACTCGAAATCACTGAAAGAACCTGTATGGTAGGAAATGCTATGCCAAAATTCTTAAAGAAAACCCATGTAGACCATGTGACAGCTGACCAATTCGAAACTTTTACGCTATTAATACTTGTCTGTCACTTGTCCAAATTATGCATAATCCTTTATGAGAATGCACGATTTGCTCCTTCAACGGTTGAGCCAGATTGATCTCTAGCTACAATAGCTTTCAGAATACAACTTACGCAGCGAAAATGGTAACACAAACCCGCAAGTTCCATACTTTCAGCTTGATTATATATAATACCCACCTCAACCATTCTTTACTTCAAAGAAAATATTTGAAGCAACCCAGCTAAGAAAAATGAAATAAAATCAAAGTCACTGATCCAATCCAAAATTATAATTAAACAAACTTTATATAATTTTTACCAATTTATTTGTCATTGTAAAAAATTAGGGCATAATTTCAACATCAGAGCTAAAGCTTAAATCTTTGGCATCAAAATTTAAAAAAATGAAAGAGATAATGAGGTAAAAAAAAAAAAAAACGAACTTGTTGCCGCCGTCTTCGCTGATTTGGTTGCCGAACTGGATGTGGCGGCCGGCGTAGATGCCGCGCTTGGCCCGACCCATGATGATATTTGAATCGGGCATGCCCTTCTTCTTGAGCTCCTCTCTCAATCGGGTGGGTAGGGTTTTCCCTCCCATGGTGCCCTTCTTCTTCAGCTCCTCCTTCAGCCGCGGCGTTAGGGTTTTGTCGCCGAACTTCTTCATCACGCTCTTGATCGTCTCCTTCCCCCTCACCAACGCCATTTCTGATCCCACTGTGTCTTCGATTCCTAAGTCCTAGGGTTTTGCAGTGCCGATTGAGGGTTCAGTTCATTTCCTATGTTTTCCGATATATCCAATGCGCTGCGTTTTGTGAAGCTGGTTTCCAACTTTCCATCAACGGCTCTGATTATTTGTTAATTCCTCATGTATTTATTGAGAACGAATGACACGTGGCTCCACAACAATTTCTTCTCAAAATGTTTCGTGACCAATTCAAAATTTTATGCTTATGATCGATACGTTTATATTAAGATATAAACAGTTGCGATTATAAGTATTGTTATTATACACAACAAGATTTGAGGATGTTCCTCGAAATGAGCCAAAATCTTTTCAATTCTGTCATTTTTCACTCTAAAATTTTATAATTGCATAAATTTAAACCATGCGTTATTTGAGGATCAAGTCATTTGTTAATTTAGTTATGTGACTGTTATGAGATTCATTGGTGGTGATGTATAAAATCCGACCACCAAGTTTATGCTTAGTCTGATTCGCCTAATTCTTCATTTTCCACCGGATGCCGGTTAGTAGTTTTTTTTTTTTTTTTTTTTTTTTAAATTTTTGACCTCATCCTTACATATTTACTCATTTGAATGAATGCTAAATTGATCACTACGATCATATTTATATAACAAAAATTGAATTTACAAGGAGGAGGATACATACAGTTTCATAGTCTAACAGATTGTTACATGAGATTTCTACGTAAAGAAAGTCGACTCAGACCGGGCGTTTCGGATTCCGGTGACACAAGTTTACACAGTTGTTCGGCTGTAAAAACACCAGCAGCTCTCAAACTTGAAGCACTACCACCGTATACTGAGCTATGGTTTATTACAATCACCATTTTATATCTATACTTCATGATCAGATCCACCACATGCCCTATTGACGTTCGAGTAGCAACACAAGGAGGCGGGCTTCTCATCATTGACGATAGAGGGGCGTTCATCTACACGATAGTATGCAAACTTGGATTAGCTCATAAAACATACAGCATGCAAACTTCGATACCAACCACCACGAGTTGATCTTGAAAATTTGGCAATTTAGCAGAACATAATCTATCAGATAATGGGTTGTATGCTGCAGTCTAGGATAGAAAACAGTTTGGTTTTACCATCAATAAATACCTCTCGACAGTCTTCACGGTGCAATATGCCAATGCAGCTACCCCAGTCATCTATGATGGGCACCACTGAATCCTTAAGGAAACGCATCGCCACTTTGTTCAAGTCCAGGGTCCCATTAAGTGGCTGAGCTGCTTCAAAGGGCATCATGACACTTTCAATTGGTTCACTTGCCAATACCTAAATAGGAAAGGTGTAGGAAGATCAATCAGAAGTGACCAAAGATATTGAACATAGATTACTAATAAGTCAACCCTTTACCATTTGTTTCTATCAAGTTACACAAAATCCTCGTTCAGTAACTCAACTAGCAATTCTTTGTCAGTCCATTCAAAATTAAAAAAAAGTATTGAATAAATAAATGATTATATCCAGTCACACTTCAACATAATTTGATCTTATACATTAAAGCCACTAATCGTAGGTCCACTATCAAGCATCTTACAGCACTGATACCATACACGAACATACATTTACGAAGGCATTAGGTTAGTACCTGAAGCAGTTATTTTTTTTACTATTTGAAAGGCCATAAGTATGTATGAAAACCTGAGGAAGTAGATAAGGACTCAATATCGATTTGGTGAATCCCAGCAAGGCCTCTATGCGGAGAGCCACCTGCAGTCCAAAGGCATATTAAGGACTTTGGCTCGGAACCAGAGAAATCAGAATGTAGTGGTAAGTATTGAAACATAATTGAAGGTTTACTTAGGCATCTCACTTCAAACTGAAGTTTGTGAAATTAAAAGAAAGAAGTCCAAAAAATCAAAATGACAAAGTAGATTATCCATCACAAATGAATGTCCATCTTAAACTTTTTTACTTCAGAACTATTATATAGTCGTAGAAGTAAAAGGATTACCATGCCTCCTCGACTTGTCCATGATATCCTCTTCCACCTTGTAATAGTACTTGCGAGGTATTTTACAGCCAAATCTACCTGACAAAACAAAAGGATAGTTTATAACATTAAAATGGTCAAAACTAGTCAGTTTCCTCATGCAAATCAAATGAAAAAGAAAAGAGTTACATAGAAATTGAACTAGCGCATTACTTGATAAGTGTCATTAAGAGGGAAATAACTACAGGCAATTCTAATATCCCTATGCAGTACCTGGATACTGAAGACAGCATTCAAATGCATCAAACACTATGAAGGTATATATTAATCAGCGATGGAAAGAGATTTATGCAGTAACACACCCCGTGCAGATGCCTGGAATGAGTTGATATGGTACCTGACCACCATTTAAAGCTGCCTCCATGAGTAGATGATCAGCTTCCTCTTGAACCATTGGGGAGATAGTTCCAGAAGTATCCCGCCACATGTGCTCATTTAGATTTTCAATGGTACTGTAATCTCCACTAACAGAAAATGAGCGCATGAAGGAAAGATAGAGGTGAGGTTTTGGTCGTAAATTTGGCTTTCCCCCAGCCCGCTTTAATATTTCTCCCAATATGCATAAAGCACCTAATTATCACAAACAAGAAATTAATCAGTAGAAGAGTGAGAATTGGATTCAATTCCTAACCCTTCAAACTCCAGCATCCTTCCAAAGTGGATAAACAAAAGGAACGTCCAGCCAATATGCACCATACGTGGTGCAGTTGACTTATAATGAGAGTTCTAATAGAGAAAATGCAGTTACTTTCATGTCAACATAAGCATGCAAATATACAACTCAATTCAAACGGTATCTTTGTCACATTTTTGTGTCACCGTGATACCTTGTAGCCTTGACATTTGGCAGAAGGAACGCATAATTTTTAGTTCGTGCTCATTTTTTTTGGTCAATTTTTATTGCTCGTTATATGATTGAAAATTATGCAGCTTTTCTATGTGCAAGTGCGATTGAACTTTAAAATCATTAGGAAAATGCATAGATATGAATATCAACAATTTCGGATAACTGAAACTCCTTGTATTGCAAACTATTTTTCATGCACAACATACCTTTTATTGAGCCACAATTTAGCAAAGCATCAGCTGCTGCAGTGTATGCTGTTCGATCAATGAACAAACCAATATATGTTTTCATTTCCAATATGATCTTCTGAACTGAATTAATATCTTTGGAATCCCCAAAACCCTGCCAAAGGAAGACACAACATACAAAATGAACGTCAAAATCTAAGGAGCAGACACATTTAGACTTTAGAGGATATAGATGATATAAAAGAAAGTTTAGATTCATTGTGGCAGTAAAAATGTGAATACTTTAAACATGTCCTTAAATTCCATTAGAAAGTTACTGAAACAAAAATAACGGACCTTAAGTAATGTTGTGTAAGTGACCACATCTGGGAAAAGGTCACCATGGCTAAATTTCTGTGCTTCATCCTGAAAAAAGAACAGCATTTAGAACCTTAATATAGGCAACAAGCTAATACAATTAAACATAATATACAGGCTCTAAACTAGCCTTTCATATAGCTTGGACCTTCATTTCCTCAAAAAACTGCATTGCAATGTCCAACTTTCCAGCTTTTACACATGCAGATATCAGAGTATTATAGGTGAGCTTATCAGGCTTTAATCCTAGACATAATATCTTGTCGTGCATGGTTATTGCACCCTGAGGAAGGCCTGCATTGATATATCCCTGAAAATTAGGAGCAGAAACCCCTTAAGAAACAACATTGATTAACTAAAACCACAAAGTTTAGGATTGTGCATACACACAACATTGTCTGTAGCTTAATTGTAAAGCTCAGTCTTCGAAAAGGAAAAGAAAATTCATACTTTAATTTGTCAAATCTCTTAAAGAACTATACATAGGTCAGTGCGGAACCTTCATTAGTAAGTTGTAGACTCTGACTGTAAGACTGCCACCTTCACGAAGGAGAAAACCATAGTGATGAAGAAGCCCATTAGCACGGCGTAAATCTCCTGCACTACACCAATAAGCAAACGGCGGATGCATCTCTATGATCAACTAATATTGTGTAGTATAACAACACTATAATAGTAATAAAAATGTATGCGGAATTACAGATCACCTTCCAACTGGGTACTAGGGTTATAAAGCACTAGGAAAACACTATGAACATACAATAAACACATAGTAAAGCACTAGCTTTATGAAGTATTGGAAAACTTTTTGTTATTCTTCGAATTTGTAATTCAGACCTGCTTCAACTAGAGCATTGAGCAGACCAAGAACAAGAGGTGCTGACAATTTTGGACTTCCCACTGCAGTGCCTCGCTCCACAGATTCAAGTACATAAAATGCTTCATCAATTCTCCGTGCCGCGCCCAAACCCTGTACAACAAAACCCCCAAATTCTCTCATACCTAAATCTCTAAAACAAAATTTGAAAAGAACCCAAAAGAGTACCTTTAAGATGGTTCCATATGTGATAGTATCAACGCCACAGCTTCCTGGCTCAGCCATTTCGTCGAACAACATGAGTGCAGAGTCAATATCGCCGCAATGTACACAAGCCTCCACGACCGCGTTCATCACAACCGTGTTCAGCTTCCCGAATCGTTCTTTGGCGACCTCTATCTCCTCCATTATCTGGTGAAGCTGTCTCCGGCGGGTGAGCTGGACAACGCGGGAGGTGAGTCGCCGGAGATTGGGTTTGCGGGGAGGGGAGGTGCTGATTCGACGGCGTCGTAACGGGTGGGAAGTACAGACGGCGAAGGAGGCCGAGAAGGTTTGCATTGTTTTTGGTGGTGGTGGGGAGGCTCAGAGCCAGCCATCGGCCATGGATGTCTCTCTCTTCTATCTCTACAGATAATGTCAGTCGGATTCAGAGACGGAAAGTGTTGGGGAGCTTGTTGGCGGGTAAATTAGTTGTGGACTGGTTTGGGCTTTTACTGGTCCAAGGCCCACCATGGCCCAAAATATATATTGGAGAGAATTGATGTTCGTTTCCATTTTAATATTGAACATATTTTTAAACTTAGGTTGTAAACTTGTAATACAGGCGAAGAATCGAATCAATATCATAAGAGGAATGTAGTTCAACTTGTTAAGAGTATTTTCCTTGCACTTGAGATTTCGAATCTGAATCCATCCGTTCCCAAATTACTTGTATCAAAAGAAAAAAAAATCAATTTTCTACAAAGGCATTAAAACGATAAATCTAGCTAATAAGATGTAATCTAATCTAATCTAAAACGATAAATCTAGCTAATAAGATTTAATTTTTTTGTGGCACTAAACTGGTATTACAGTTTAGTGGTATTCTTTTCTACACATATAAGTGAGAGGTTTCTATTGTACTCGAAACACAATCATATAAGTGTTAATATTTCACGTGTTATAATGAGTGTATGATATTGTCCAATTTCTATACTATATTAAGAAAAACAAATATGCCCATCATAATTTGAGTTGAATAATAACATCACGTATCAGTATTCTTTGATATATGTTTTGAATACATATATATTTTAAGCACGTAAATCTCCGTCCATAAACACCAAGAGGCAAGGATATGGAGAAACTCAAATTTTCTGTCGTGGCTATGAATATGATTTTATCAAACGGGACCTACAATGACGTGGTTATGAATGGTATTTACCAATAGAGGCTTTGCCCTATTGTATATTGATCTCTCTAATCAGTCAGACAGCCAGTGGAGGTCTTGCCAGCCATCGTCCATGGAATATGAATCTCTCTATTCAGTCAGAGACTGAAGCTGAAGCTTGTGAGCTGTTAGCTTATTGGTTGGTTAAATTAATGGTGTCCGTTATGGGCTTACAGATTACTGGAGTCCCAAAATATTCGGTTAGACAAAATACACACTTTTTTTTCAGATAATCTACTCACGTTTATTTTTACCTTGTACATATTGTCCGCTGATTTTCTTCAATTCCTTTGATCCGACAGCTGGAAATTGAGAATGATGTGTGAGAAGTAAAAGTAGGTATGTGGATAGCACCACCTTTTTTTTTTAATTCAGGCAATGTTGTAATCTAGTCTAAGTATTTGAATTTAAGTACTAAGAGGGAGCACACACTTTCAGTTTTTTTTAAAGTACTTTCAAATAATTAGAGGGAGCACACACTTTCAGTTTTTTTTAAAGTACTTTCAAATAATTAGAAATAAATTTTGCACATTCTAGAGAAAAAGTTGAAATTACTTATCGGTAGAACATCACCTTTGGATTCTTCTAAGAATATATTTTAGGACGTATATGGATCTTTTTATTAAATCACCGTGCTTCTATGTTACGCTTTCAGTAAAAGCAATAATAATTAAGTAGAAGCTCTTCTATAGTGAAAGCTTAACTATTTAAATCGTGATTTTTTTGCTCTTATTAGACTGTATGATATATTACATTGTAAATATTATAAATCTTTAACTATAGACCATTCATTTACATAATTCACACACATGATCGATGATTCAGATTAACAATATGATATCATCATTCAGAATCGAGAAGTGTAAAGAAAATGCAAATGGGTTGAAACACAATATAAATGTGTACTGTGTGTGTACATAAGGAGATGTAAAAGTGGACTGATTAAGCTTGTGAAACAAAAAGCTACCTTTTAGCTGAAAACATGTATATATAAAGGTAAGCATGCATGTCTTCATTTTCTTTATTGCCAAAGTGATATTCTCATTTGCATAAACTACGCCTTTAACGGTTTTTTTTCACATTGTTTCGATTCATAGGCACCATCCAACTTTTTCTGTTTATAGTACCTACCTACAAAAAACTGCACATCATAATTTACTTTTTGAGTTTCATGCTCGTCCCACCATTTAAGGTAAAAGCAACTTTTCTACTTTCCACACCAGAAAGGGCAACGTGAAATGGGCGATGTTGGGGAAAGATTTAGTGTGACGTTTTAGATTAATAATTCAACATCATTTTGAAAGTTATAAGATGGATGTTAGTTTAACTTAGAGGGGTAAGTGCGACCAGATTTCAACTTAAAAATCCAATGTTAGTTATAATTCTCAAATTAATTTTCATATTCTATTCAAAACTATCCTCCACATATGCAATTAAGCAAAGAAATAAAATGTGCACATTGGATGTAGGATCTAACGAGGCAAAATTCAACACTAACAAAATCCTCGAGCTCTCAAGTAAGGACAAACACTAAAGGAAATGATTACACAAAGACTTCAAAACTTATCAACTAGACACACATACTAGTAGGCAATTTTGTCTCCGCACTTTGATACTCGATCTCTCTTCAGCATTCGAGTAGAAGTGGCACGATACTAACCCGATTGTCAATCACCTTTTTCTTGAACTTTGCAGGATTCTAAAGTGATCATGCAGAAATGTATGAAATGAAATGATTTTTTGAAAATTAACCAAGTACGAGATTCACAAGGCAAATTTTCATAACCAATGTCTAATTAATGGTTAGTTTAGTATTGTTGTTAACTAAGATCTTGAACCAGCTCAACCAGCTATGAGTCCTCTGCTTTAAAAGAAACTCCCTCTGGGGCCAAATTTCCGACCTCTCCGACTACCTCAACCTCAAATCCCTCTCCTTAAACGACGACAACTTCTCCAGTGTTTTCCCCTCTTCCATTTTTGACCTCCACCGCCTCAATCGTATTTGTTTATTTGGAGGATCTGGAAGGAGGAAACGTATTTGTTTCTAGTTTACCAACACCGTAGACATAAAAATTATAAAATAAACTGCTTTTTTTTTTTTAAAACACGGTCTCAAACCAGTCCTAAAGCGCATGAAAAAACAGTGATCAAACACTAAATATTTCTTTTTAGAAACACTAGGCAATAACACTGATTTTTCTGGATCGAAAATAGTTCTTTGTGCACTTGAAGCTGCTTGCAAACGTGTGCTCTCAAATGATTGCACGCAGTAAAAGCAACCAACACCAAACTCTGATTCACGCGGCAATAAAGATTAAAAATACATATAAAGCGACTTTACCCTTGCGGGCACTTGAATTTCCTCTCTCTTTAATGTATTGCTGCCAGTGTTTTATCTTATACGGCAACAACCTAATTGCATATGCGACATCATCAGCTTAAAATAAATAAACTTATTTGAAAATGTTTTTAAAATGATTGAAAACGATTTTAGAGAAAAAAATTTCGATTCCAAAAGCAACAGTTATGATCACTTTAAGTATTTTTTCAAGATTCACTTGAATTTTAATTAAGGATTGGTTTAAAAAATAATTATATCTAAAACGCTTTCAATTATTTTAAAAATATTTTCAAATGAGTCGTATCTAAGCAGGAAAAGATAGGCGGCGCCGTTATTCACGTGTTTTGTAGAAGCAAAAGCGCTTCTTGCATCTCGAAAGACCGGAAAGTTTATTATGTTATTAAATTATGATTCGACATTTTATAGAAGTGATCAATAACACTGATTGAAATTACAGGTTGCAAGAATGTGATAAGAGAACATTTTTCATAAGATACGTGTACGCTAAGCAAAATTATCACAACATTAGGGCATCTAATCAAACCATAAAGAGGAGGCCCTACAACGATTATTATAGCAATACTCATTAAAGTAATGGGACTATTAGCCTCTCCATCAACTTCATCTTCCCACCTATATATACATATCCCACAAAAATAGTGCTATTCACATTTTCTTTTTATCTCCTACACATTTTTGTTAATTTTTGTTCGTTAATCATTTTCAACTTATTCGATCCGACAATCATAACAAATATATATATATATATATGTGAAATGTAAAAATAAATGCGTAGATAACACTACTTTTTTTATATTCCAATCAATCATGATGCAGCACCACTATGCATCTTAAATGGATCTGTCTTAACCCAACTCCATACTTACCCTCCCCAAAACCAAAACAAGTCTTTATACATCCACTTCCTCATTTATTTATTCTTTAAATCCCTCCAAAATTCAATTATTTTAAAAAACCAACCACTTCCCTCTATTCTTTCTGAACAAGGATCATCTCCGGATTCTCTTTGTAGGGATCTAGATGATCAATCAATTTTGTCCGTTCATCGTATATTATACGATCAGTTTTCGTTATGTATTATTTATATTCAATTTTAAATTTAAAATGATTTCTAACTTGACGATATACAATGAATGAATAAACTTGATTGATCTTCGAATCTCCACAAAGAGCATCCAAATAGGATCCTTGTTCTTTCTTTCCGGCCTTAGAATCCGATTTGGTCACTGTATTTATCCTTTTTGGGATTAAAAATCATTTCGGTCATTCTATTTACATCCGGTTCCACTCAAACTTTTGATTCGTTGCTCATTTCTTTAATCCCGCACAAGTCTCTGTCTTATATTCCGGTTTCTAGATGCACACCCACAAAACTACAAATGCCACCCAATCACAAACCCAAAATTCTTTAACCAAATTTAATCCCCATTTAATTAAGAGACCTTTTGACCACCCAATATTTCTTCCACAAAAGTAAAATCTTTGCTTCGTCATCACACTCCTGAATTTGATCTCCATGATCTCTCTTTCCTCACTATAAATACTCATATGTAGAATATGCTCTGCAACTACAATCCTTCAGCTAGACCAAGTGTCGAACACGTTGCAAACTCACTTTTCGATCCATGCATTCTTCAAGAAACTCAAATTTTTCGATCATTTCTTCATCTGGGTAGTTTTATTTTACGTGTTTGTATTCGAATGTCGAAAATGGCGGCTCCGAAATCATCATCTGGATCAAACCCAGGTTCTGATCAGTGTTCTAACCAAGAAATCAGCATGAACAAATCCGAGCCGTTGATTCCCGGATTGCCGGACGAGGTTGCCGAGCTCTGCCTGCTCTATCTTCCCTATCCGTACCAAGCTTTGGTGCGTTCGGTTTCTGCTTCATGGAACAGAGCCATTACAGACCCTAGCTTTGTTCTTCACAAGAAGTCTTTGTCTTTGCCTCTGCCTTATCTTTTCGTTTTGGCCTTCAACAAATCAACGGCCATGATCCAGTGGCAAGCCCTGGACCCACGATCTGGCCGTTGGTTTGTTTTGCCTCCCATGCCGTGTCCCAAGGCCGCTTGCCCGCCGGGGTTTGCATGCGCTTCCCTGCCACGTGAGGGGACGCTTGTTGTAGCGGGCGGCGTGCGGTCGGACACAGAATGTTCTATGGAAACAACCTTTGTGTATCGAACATCTACAAATCAATGGTCGATAGCCGCTCCAATGCGGACCCCACGGTCATTTTTCGACGCTGGAAATATCAACGGAAAGATCTTGGCCGTCGGAGGCGGCAAGGATCACTATGGCAGCTCGATCACGGCCGTGGACTGTTACGACCCTAAAAAAGACACGTGGGAGGCATATGCCCCTCTGCCAGGTGGACTGGCCAAGTATGATTCCAATGTGGTGGGCAACAAGATGTACGTGACCGAGGGGTGGACGTGGCCGTTTATGTACTCGCCACGTGGCGTGGTCTACGACCCTGACGATAACACGTGGCAAGAGATGAGGCCGGGAATGAGGGACGGGTGGACGGGCGTGAGCGTGGTCGTGGGTGGCAGGCTGTTGGTGATATCGGAGTACGGGGACTGTCCGATGAAGGCGTACGACCCTGATAAGGACACGTGGCGGTACGTGGGTGGGGACAGGTTCCCATGTGAGGCACTGAGACGCCCCTTTGCTGCGAGCGGGGTAGAAGGGAACATATATGTGGTGGCATGTGGGTTGAACGTGGGCGTAGGAAGGCTGTCCGAGTGTGAAGCAGAGCTAAAAGTTGAGTGGCAGCTCCTGCCAGCTCCAAGTGCTTTTAGGGGTTTTTCTCCTTCTAGTTGTCAAGTGCTTCTTGCCTAAATTATTGAGTTGTTGTTCAATTATATCTGCTTTTGGCTTTGTTAGGCAATTTCTCAATTAAACTTGTGGGCAAATCCAACTTTTCTAAAATTGTTTGGTTAGAATATTGTTCTACAGCTAGGCCTAATATTTGCTCTGCTCTTCCACATAGACATGGAAGCACTTTCGTAGCTTTGTTTGAAGACTTTCATTGACCCAATTTACTATAATCTAACCAATAATTAACTTAGTAACCCTCTTGGTGGGCTATGAAATCAGTCATATCTTATCCAAATCTTTGTACAATATTTTTCCTTGGTTCAAGATTAAAGTTTTTGGACTGATGCCACGGTCATTTTTTTCGACAAAGATAAAAATTTCGACTACAATCAACTAAGGAAAAGGACTTGTAGTTTATCGTTTAACCCAAATGAGGCTTTTTGTTCGAATTTTCTTTCTCCAATTTGCTGCTTTGAAAGATGAAAAGTTGAATCAACTAATAATTTGGTTGGTTTCTGTGTTTTGCGCGGATTCAGATTGTCCCAGGGGGTTTGAGAGTTGCAACATCTTTTTCATACTTTTAATTATTGGGTAGAAAATTTAAAGCAAACCAATTAATGCCAAAAATCTTTAAAAAGATTGTGAAGGACCCACTTGAATTGATTTATACTTGACCAGCATCATGATGTTTTGAGAAAGCAATGTGACCACAATATCCCGTCGCTTTAAGTGCACTTGAATATTATTGGGATCGACGAAGTTGATGAAGGTATATGGATCTGTTTCTCTAAAAATCATACATTCTTTTGACGTAACAAAGGGACCCTAATGGGGCCAGCGCTACAATCGGTCGAGTTTAGTCATGCGCGACCAATTCTAGCATTTCTTGATGCTTTATTTTCTTTTTCGCTAGTGTCATAAAAAGGAAGTCACAATTGTCAACCCGCATTGAGGAAAATAAGGGATGCAGAAGAAGGAAAGAATCAACGCGTACATATCTAGATAGATAGATATAACATAAAGTTCTTACCGTATGTAAATTGTTCGTCACCTCTGGGGTTTGGAATCGTTTAGATACGCGGTTTTTGCATAACCATTTGGACCTGCATTCCAAGCTTCCAGATTAAGCTACGTTTTCCAGGAAGTTCCCTATCTCTCTGTATAAATAGGAATTGCCTTGCACCTTGTATGCCAGCAAACAACAGTTTCATTTTCCGACCACTGCGAACAAATCTCGAAGCAGAAACCCAAGACAGGAAAGAAATAAAGAAAGGCAGACAGGCAGATGAGCAAGCGAAGCCGGAAGCCCTAGAAAGGCTTGAGATTAAAGAAAGAAGGATATTCGATCATGTGTTTGGTGTTCGTGTGTGATGAAGAAGAGAGGGTGCTGTTGAGGCAACCGGCGCCGGGAGCATGCTCTTGCTGTGGAGGAATGGTGAAGCCATGGATGTTGAGAGCAACTGGAGGTTTTGCTTCCTTCCGCTGTATTGGAGGACCAAGCGCAAGTTCTACTGCAGCTTGTTTACTAGAAAATTGGTCGTGCAATGATAAACTCACATGATATGTAGAGAGATTGCAGTTCGAGATTTTGTATGTATAACAAAATATAAAGCGTGACATTTTATTGTTACTGAAACAACAAAATGACAGACTCTGTTTACATATACATGCATTGTTCTTGTGTTCTTTCTAAATTTCCGAACCGAACCCTCTAGATTTTACTTCTTAACCAATTAAGAATGGTATGTGTCTTAGTTATCTACAACCCCAGTTTCATGGTTTCTCTTCCGGACATTCCTTCCAACTAAAACCGGCGGAGAGATGTCTGTCTAAAGTCTTCAAATCGTTGAATGTTATGGACCAAAGAGTGATATCCAAGCTCATAAGGGAGAAATCTGTTCTTCCTAGGTTCATTCCTCTAAAGTTTCAAATTGCTAAATCATAAGGGCAAACACGAAACACAGTCCCATGGTACAGCCCAGACTGCATTTAGCATTATATCGAAACACGTAGGCCAAATTTACTTTATTTGTGTAAAACAAAAATCTTGGGTAAGGAACACTGTGACATCAGACTGCTAATCAACTGTATTCCAACACATTCAACATAAAGGGGAAGCAAAACTGAAAAGGATTAAGAGCCAATTCATAAACGAACACATTATGCTTGAAAGTCGTGCACAAATCAATTCATGGCTGTGCACTAATGAGGATGACAATAACATCACTTACAGAGTTTCAACTTTTTAAAATATGCGGATACCACGGATTTCGGGTACGGCTTTGTGGCGAGACAAGTTGGGAAGTTTTCGGGTTGTTCAATCCAGAGCTTGTGTGCTATGCCACCTGATTTGAGCTTCTCTGACAAATTCACTATCTGGGGTTCTCCCTTCACCTCAAGGGTAACCTGCAAAAGTTCACAAGGACATTGTAATCAAAATTACAACAATCAGTACCAAGTAAAAACAACAGCAAAGAAGTAAATTCTCAAAACCCAGTTAACTGATTCACAAGAAAACTCCCAGTAAACTAACAACACAAATTTGGCAGAAATCTCAGTGACCCAATTGAACGAACATAAACTTTAAACTATGCAACCTCGTATTACCTACTGTTTCCTACATATTTAACTCTGTAAAGACTGTAACTATATGCTGTAACACAAAGAATTTCATACATTTTGTGGGCCCAAGAGGACAAAATTCATGGTATAGGCTTAAAACCATTCTAAAAAATGAAGACATGAAACATTAACCTCAAAGTTCGAACCCCTTCTGCTCAGTTTATATTAGATTAGAATACGGCTTCGAGCTAGTTTAGATTAAATTAGAATATCGCTTCGATAAAATAAAAATCAAAACTACTAAGAATCACACCTTCATTCCACATTCGTAACCAAAACCCAGAAATCTAAAACTGTTAAACCCTACAAAAATCCAATTTTTTTTCCAAAAATTCAAGCTTTTGGATTTACCTTATGCATAGAATCGATGTTTTCTGGACTGCAGTACTGGAGGGTGATGGGGTCGTCTTTGTGGGACCAAATGGCGGATACGGAGGCATGGCAGCCCTGTGTGACCACGCTGCCCGTGGGCCACGTATCGATTAGGTCTCGCCGGAGCACGACGTACTGAACCAGGACGTCCGTGGTGTCGGACTTTGGGATGTCCGGATTGGCCTCGGCGGCTGGTTGACTCATCGAATTTCGGATGAGTCGAATCGGGGCGGGGGCCGCGTTGGATGGAGGTTTGGCCCCAAATCTGATTCGAGGGACTGAAAGCGAAAGTGGGGTGGGACGAAGTGGCGCGAGTAGACACGCCATGATATAATTACACGTTAGAGCATCCATCCACACTGTCCTACTTTATGCAATTTTTTTTTTTAATTTCTTTTTTCTAAAATTTAAATTAAGTTTTTTTTTTTCTTTCCAGAATTGCTAGTTAAATTACATGATCACATGTATGGTCTAGTTAATATACTTGGCCTCACTCAATCTCACGATGATCTCATCCCTGTGAGAGAGTTGTGCTATGTCACTCCCTGCTAAAGATTCACCGCTACAAGATTGGGTTGGGATATAAATGGGAAAAAGAAATCCAATGTATGAGATTGGTGATATCATGCATGAATGATAAGCAAATATTTAGGGTGCATTTTTTCTCATCAACTTTAAGTGGTGATAATACTTACTATCTTATATATCACTGTAATGATCGTTGATATTCTCTTTACCAATATAAAAAGAAGAGAAATGCTAAGGGAACTTTCTCAAAAGTGTGAGTTTACATGGGTTCTAAGCCACCTCATGCTTTTGGCACAAAATTTTATAATGTTAACATAGAAATTGACGTTAAACTGTGAGATGATCGAGAGCTCGTAAAGAGTCCCATTTTTAGATGATCCCTTAGCATTCCTCGGAAAAGAAAGGTCGATAATAATAGGCCTATAATAAGCGCTTAGACTTGATGGACTTGCTCTAGCCCGTTAGATCGACCCTATATTTCAATCAGGATAGGAACAATGCTAAGGTGCAGATAGAGCTTTGCAGACGGTGTGGGCGGACGAAATGGGGACCGTATGATTAAATTTGAGTGCTTGAAAACAAATCCATCAGAAAGGACTTAGTGTGAAACTGGGTTGAGAAAGACCCATAAGTTAATCAAAACGGTACCTGCGAGAATTTAAAAAATAGGGAATTAAACTCTCCCCATCCTTTCCACAACAGAGCGGTTGTTTCTGCGAAAGTCGACAACAAACTTGATTCCGGAAACAAAATTTGAAATTTGGTGAGTTTGGAAATTTTGATCCCTAGAAAATAATTTTGTTATGTATGTAAAATTGTGTATATTTTTTAGGGTTTATGGTTAATTATGCAACTGGGTCGATGAAATTAGTTGATGTGGAAGTCATCGAAAAATTTAGTGAGATGTAAGTTTATGAACTGTGGTTGATAGGTTGTGTGCAAGATATATGTGCTTCAATTTGTTTTGTTGAGTTTATATTTTTCACTTGGGAATGATTTTTGTCGAAGAATCTTTGTTAATTTTATGAATTAATTTTTTATTTCTTAACTCATGAAAGTAAGTTCATAGTAGATGTATAGCTATGAGAATTTGTTTACAAGATGTGTCAAATAGATGTATAGATATGATAATTTGTTGACAGGTTGTGTCAAGGATAAACATTGTTGTATTTGGTTGTTATTGGGGTATTGTTTTTCAATTTGGTTGTGATGAATGGTTGTATTGTTATATGTATAGAAGATGGCAAATCAGAGGGTTGAAATCGCAACAAAACAGGAAGAATCTTATAGAGGAAGGGTTGACAACCTTTCTCAAGCTAGTCATGTCCTAGGAGTGTTGCGTCACAAGTTTAATGATGCATATCTTTTTGAATTTAGGGCTTCATGCTTTGGACACTTAGAGAGTGTCGATAGATTAGCCTTTAGTGGGCAGCTAGTGCATGAATTGTCTATCTGTAGAGGGGCAAATTAGAGGGTGAAGGACATAGAGGGACTCACATATTTAATAGGCTGTGAGGTCACCCAGTTCACGAAGAAGGACTTTTGCCTCATTACAGGACTTCGTTGTGATGAACCCTATAATCTAGAGGTTGAGCCTTCCAACATTAGGCTATTGACTAAGTATTTTCCTTAAAAGTTTGGTTTTGTTAGATAGAGTTGTAAAGGTAAAGGTAAGGGTAAGGGTAAGGTTGTGAAGAAGAGAGGTAGAGTGAAGACCGCCCCCAAGAAAGCTACGAAAAAAGTTTCAGTGACATGTGCCGGGCTTGAAACGGCGTTTAAACAATGCGAGGATGAGGATGATGCATTGAAGATAGGGTTGGTTTACTTCACCAATGGTGTGTTGATAAGGGCAAAAAGTAATGTGAGTGTGAACCTAGAGTACTTAGACCTCGTATAGGACAAGGATAAGTTCAACACTTATTCTTGGGGTATGATATCGTGTGAACAGCTACATGACAACCTTTATTTTGCTACTCCTAGGAAAGGGAGATGAAGAGGGAATGGAGATTCAAAAGGACATGAGAAGGATGAGAAGGATGAAGAGGAATAAACGAAAGGAAGTAAGATGAGGCAGTGATCCGGATGGGGCTGCAAAGGGTTTAGTTATGCCTTTCAATTATAACTTGTTGGTTTGATTAAGTACTAATAAGGGTCAAATTGCTGTGATTGTGATGAGCACTAATTCAGTGTACGTAATTAGTGTACGTGCATGTGTGGGCATATAAAAAATTATGCAACTGGAGAAGCCACTATGCTATTGCAAAATGATTGATCCGACAGCCATCCCAAGAATTCTTAGGTGGTCAACAACGAATAAACAACCGATCCATGAACAGGACCATATGTACATAACTCAGAGCCGAGAGACATGCCCTTATTTCAAAAGTTATGAACTTATGAAGTATTATGGAGCTATTTTAATATCTGTTTGAAGTCTGATGAACGTTTATGAGTGTTTATGAATACATGTTTTGAGAAATGTACATAGTTAAGAGCAGAGATGTATGACCTTATTTGAAAAGTTATTAACTTATGAGGACTTGTGAGGATATTTGAATATATGTGTGAAGAATGATGAACCTTTTTGTATGTTTATGAAAGCTTGTTTAGGGAAATGTAATTTTGATGATTGACGATAAATGGCAGGCCGTGGGGATTAGGGATATAGTGCCCACTAAAGCGGAGAATAACTCAGGCTATTGGACATAAGGCGATGATGTTGATGTCATGATGCCAGAAACCCTGACTTCGAATACAAATGATGTCGGCTAGCTTAAAGTCACAAATTAAGGAGTTAAAGGTGGCAATGGGGCGTTTGGCCCACGAGAAAAATATTTTTCAGAGAAATGTGTTGAAGAATGTGAAAGAGTTGACAAAGAAGGTGAAGGCATTCAGGAGGGAAGTTAAGGGAAAAGAAGAGGATGAACAGAAAGTTAAGGATGAGGAAAAAGAAGAAGAAGAAGATGATGATGAGAAAGAGTAAGGAAAACAAGAAGAAAATGAAGAAGAAGAAGAAGAAGAAGAAGTAGATGATGATGATGATGATGATGATGATGATGATGATGAAGGGAAACAAGTAGGTAAAGAAAAGGTAAAAGAAGAAAAAGATGGTGGTCAAAGCTGCAGCGCTGTATGAAATGGTGTCCATGAAAGGAAAGAAGAATCTGTGGATGGTAAAAAATGAGGTGAAGAAGGCAAACTGGGGGAAGCCAAAGGATTAAGAGGGAATGAGGTTATGAGAGGTGTGGATGAAGTGGGTTTTCAAGACCTTGTAGAGACTATTAATTAGGAATGTCCTACAGATGTGTGCGAAAAAGTGCTTGCACAGGTCGAAGAAAGGATAGTGCATGACCGCACAGAAGTCCAAAGTCCGATCATGATGATGTTGTTATTTACACACCTGAAGGTAAGCATGTTGGAACGAAAAGGAAAGTCTGGTACACTAGGGTGGCAGCAAAGACTGGGGGCACCAAACTGGGGCAAATAAGAAGACAAAAGTGGTGTGTCACATGAAATTGACATTTGAAGTGACAAAGTGTGAAAAACTCCAAGACGGTGAGCTAATGAAGCATGTTCTGCAAAGGGGAGCGACATTTAAAGCAATTGACTCAGCTTGTATGGTCGAGGCACTTCAATATTTCTATCAATTTCATAGATTGAAGAATGCCGGTAACAAGTGATCATCGTGTTTTGCTTATGGTGATTTGGAATTTATATGCAGTAAACGACTAGAATGATGACGGTAAATTTGTTTTTTTTTGTTTGTTACATTGTTAGTCATGTTGCCCAGTTGGAGAATATGACGGTTGGAGACACGGACTTTTGGAGATGCCTCATTGACAAGGAAGGGTTGTCAACCGATGTAAGTCCATAAAACCTATTGTTGAAGTAGTGTTTCCATACTGTTGGGATTGTATTGGTGTGAAAGTTTAATTAAAAAATTTATATTGCAACATCTTCATTTGCAGCTGTATCTCTTCTAGAAGTATGTTCAATAGGCTCAGATGGTGGGGACAATGTTGAGCACTAACACAAATGATTGGTTTCTGGTAAAATATCCAACATAATATGTGCTACTTATGTAAATATGTGCAATTGTTATGTTGAGTGTGATTTTGGGCAGTAGAGTTGGTGTACATTGAAGGAAAATTTGTGAAAAACAAGTTCATTTGAGCAACATCAACAACATGCAATTAACAATTAAAAGGCGGAATCATGTTTATATGCACTCAAAAACAAAACTTAACCCATGAACTTCAAAGCCTAGTAGATAGGTGAACCAAGACTCAACTCAAAACAAAGTGAGTTGAGAAATCAATACCTTTGTAGATTCCTCTTTGCATAAGCAAAGGCTAATCACCCAAAGAGAGGGCCTTCATTCCTTGCATCTTAGATCCATGGATTTGGATGGATGAAAAGGTTTCTCCAAGTTCCCAAAATTGAGAACCTCTAAGTCTCCACACCAAGGCATATTGAAGAAGAAATGAGTGACCTAGAGGAAGTAAGATTGCTAGATTTTCCCCTCTAGATTGGCCGGCCTCTTTGAGAGCAAAGGGAGGTTTGTGTTATCATCTTTTCTCCCAAGAAAACCCTAAGGATGAAATGGCTATAAAGATGTCTTTATACCACCTCACAATGGAGTGGCAAACTTGCAATTAAGCCAAGTTCACTACCCTCCTCTAAATGGCCGGCCTAAGGGGATTTATTGGGCTATTTGGGCCTTTGTGAATCATTATTCATTAAGTTGTCATACAACTTAAGTCAATGGACTTGACGTTCGAAGCCCATTGGGCCTTAAGGTCCAAAACTATCCC